CCTCGCCGGCTTCACCTCCGTCCACACTTTTTCCCCTCGCACCTTGAGGTCCCGGTACATTTCGGCCTGCCGCTCTGCGTACGCGATGGCCCCCTCCGCGTCTGGGCGCGGAATAACCCCGACGTGCACGCTCGCGGCGCGCGCAGACCATTTCGCGGCCTCAAAATCGAAACTCACGCCCACCCGCCGATACTCCTCCTTGAGTAGCCCCTCTTCCTCCTCCCAACGACGAGTCCTTGCGAAAGCTTTTGACCACTCGACCTTCAGCGCTGGATAAGTTTTCTCAGCATTCCATCAATTGACAAAGTCAGCAGGAACGCACCTTCCAGGAGCTCGGCATCGGTACCCGTGGTCTCCGTGTATGTCCAAATCCACGAAATCTGACGCTCGTTCTCCGTGCCACGCCCCGTGCCTTCCTCCGATCCCATGTCGTCGTCGTCCTCCTCCGCTGGCAAAACCCCCCCTTCATCCCGCAGGGCTTGCAAAAGTTTTCGCCGGCGCTCGTCCCTCTCCTTCCGCACTTGCGCCCTCTTCGAATAATCCTCCGCGTCCTCCATACAGCGGATATCCTCCCTTCTCAGCACGCGCCACCCAACCTGCAGTTCGTCGCCCCCATTCAGCCGTCGCAGCGCATCCCATGCTGTTTGGTACTTCTCGGAATGTAAGCGAATCTTGCTTTCGTTCCGCTCGACCGTCGACCTCGCCCTTGTCGTGGCACCTTGGTGGCGGGCGTGAAGCCTCTTGTAGTTGAGCAAACGCGCTTTGATGTATAGCTGGTTACGCAGCTCCGCGAGGCTTGAACGGCACTGCGCATCGCGCATTTCCAGCTCAACTAACTGCAGCCCCGCCACGCACCGCTCTCGCTGAGCCTGCGTCAGGGCAGACGGGAGGAGCAAGGGGACGTCCTCGGCCAGCGTCGTTGCCGGTAAATCCAGCGCTCCCAGTGCCTGCAGCGCCGCCGGCATGTACGCAGCCTGGAGCTTCCGGAATCGCAGAATCCCTCGATTGAGCTTCATCCGAAGCGCCTTCATGTCGATCTGCATACCTGCCGTCCCGGCCTTTTTTAATTCAGCCTGAACGCGAACGCGTCGCCTAGAACTGGTCAGCATTATCGCCCGCAGGTCACAGTCGGCCACTTACTGCTCTCCCTCGAGATCCAATCCCGCCGCAATGAAGGAGCTTGGGGTCACGTCATGCACGGCCGGAACGCCCTTGGCAGCTTCCTCTTCCTCCGCTGTCGCAAACCGCAGGCGTACTTCGGCCTCCGTCAGACCCTTCACCACGATCCCGAAAGGATTCGGTTTCGTCTGGTCCTTCTCGTGCTCCAAGACCGCCTGCGTCCATTCGGGGACGCGATCCCGTTGTTGTTCAGAGAAGAGCTCGAAGGAGGCTTTCTGCTCCTTCAGCTCTGCCTGCGCCCGGTCAAAGCGCCGCCGCAGCATCTCAACTGTACAAACTCCGGTTAGCTTCCCCATTGCGCAAGTTGATCGCCACGCACAGGTATTGACCAGCTTTAGCCAGTTCCAATAAGCCAATTGACAATCGAACGTATCGTGGCGGAAACCGGGTCCCATCCGCATCGTACTCCCCGCCAGCGCGCCCAGGGTCGCCCAGGGGCGCTCGATCCCCTCCCCGTCCACCTGCGCTGCCCCCAGAAGCCAAGCGAGAGAGAAAAGAAGTCGGCACAGGAAGTTGTGGGCGTGGATGTGCATTTTTGGGATAACGAATCGACAGAGTGCCGCCACGAGGTATATCCGCACGTTCGCCGGGAGCGCCTTGAGCCTTTCAATGAGGTACTTCGACCAGATGCACACGATGTCGTATGAAAAGACCTTGAAAAGGTCCGGGTGCCAGTGCTTCAGGATGCACGCAGCAACATAATCGACATTGGCGAATCTGATTTATGTCTGTCAGCGGTCTCATCTCCGGCAAATCGTCAACGCCTTACCGCTCTCCTCTTTGCAGATCCCCAACGCCGTTAGCTTGCACGAATTCGTGCCTCGCACAAACCCCCATTACGACACCGGTCGTTGCATACCCGCGCGAGAATTTTGTGTTTGCGTAATCGAGGGCTGCCAGCCCCGTGCAAGTCTCCATCTGCAAACAGCAGTTAATACGTGCGCTCCTGATACCAGGGAAAAGGACTCGCCTCCTTCTGATTCGTGACCCCACGAAGATACTTGCGATACGGCGTAGTGTCCACCATGTACGCCCAACCAGATCCCAAATCCGGATCCCGCAACTCACTGGAAATGAGCCGGCGCTTCAAACGAAAGCAAGCATCGAGCGCCAAGAAAAAGGTATACAAATGCCTGCGCACGTCATTCGTTAGCCGGCGGCCCAGGTAACAGAAAGAAGAACACTCGTACCTTAGCTCTGGCGGCGCCCGTTCCCAGCCATCAGGCAGGTTCACTCCAGGACGTGGGCACGCGGGACATTGGATCGCCAGCTCGCCTTGCTTCGTCCCCGCCGCGCCCGACGACGTGTAAGCGACGGCTCGACCACCACGCTTCAACAACATCAAGTGGCGGTACTGTCGGCACATCCGATTCCACTCGTCCTTTCGATTCGGAGGTCGAATGCCCGTGTTGTCGGTGAGTTTCTCGAGAACGGCGTAGAAGTCGTACATCATCGTTTTAGATTGCAGTGTTTCTTGGTGAAAATTTTCCAAAACATTGAGCGTCGCGCAAGTTTGGGGCCTTTCGTGAGTCGCCGGATACCAACCCGCTCGCAGCAGTTGGACTTCAGGCGGACCAGCGTCGTAGGCTTTTTCGCAGCCGCAGTAATCCACCGCTACTTCGTGGATACCGTTCGTGTGGAGGATAACGAAACCGGTGTGTGCGGGCTCCGGCGCAGAGCAAGGATGGTGGTCGGCGTGCCCGAGTTGAATGCGAAGCCCAAGGCTCTTAAGGGGTGTCTTTACGAACCAACGCCCATTCCATTTCTGGCAATAAATCAGTCCCGAGTAACCCGCCCAAAAAAAAAAAAACGCACATATACACGGTGCAAAGGATTTTCGCGATGGCGCTTCAGCACACAGCGGGTACAATACATCACATCGCCGTGGCAATCCTTGCAGCGAAACAGTGGAGGCTCCGCACCGGAACGGCAGCCAGGGCAGGAAGAGCCAGCGTCTCCCCTCCCCTCCCTCCACATCAGTACGCTCAGGAAAATATCGCGCTTCGTGGCACGCCACTCCGCCAGCGACGGGTCCTGCTTTAATGTTAGCACCACGTAGTTAAATTTCGGAGCGCAAATGTCCTTACCGAAGGTTTTACTACGCGTTTTTTTTTCTGGCCCGGTACAGGCGGTAGCGGCGGCTCATCTCCATCAAAGTCATTAGAGAGGCCGAGCTGGTAGTGTTCGAAGCCAGCGTCAATGTGGTCGGACGCGTTGAGCGGCTCGCGTGGGTCAAGAGATGCCTCTTCTTGATATGCTCGGCGCATACGCTTCACCGGCGAAGGCGGTTGTACGGGGATTTCCTCCACGTAGAGTCGGCGGCGGTCATTTGATACGCGGTGCACGAATGTCGGTACCTCCGCATCTTCCATGCGAGCATCCAGAGAGTTGAAGGCGAAGGAGAAAGAATGGGTTGAGACGCCATGAGAGTCCGCGTTGGATGTTGCTGAGGGTCGTTGTCGCTTTGAAAGCCGTCGTTGTCGTTGGCTGCTCATGGCGAAAGCCCGCGTTACGGTTCTGTGACCAAACCTCCGACAACTCCGATCGGGATAAAACCACGTGCCTCGTTAGAATTTGGAGGAAAATCGGTGGACACAGAGTCTAGAAAGCCAAACACAAAGTGGGATTCTCGAATTTATTGGGTCAGTATAATATTCAGGTCAGTAGCACCACTCTACAACAAAAAAAGGTGCCAAAAAAGACGCGAACCATTTAGACCATATGCATTGGGACGCGACTTACTACCATTATAATACATGTATTTATGAGTCGATGAAAGTTATCAAAATTTCGGTTAGTGGGAGTAGGCGCATATAAGTAACGTTCTGTAAGATCACTCGCGTCCACCTGCGTCGTCTTCGTCGCTGGCGGCGGGGCGGGACTTCTCCCTCCTAGAAACACCCCGGCGTTCGTCGCGCGAAACATTTGGACCATACCCATACTACCATTATAACACAAGGTCGTTTGTATTGCAAGCTGAGTCGATGAAAGTGATGGCGGGCGGCGGGGCCCGTCATGCCCTCGTCCAACTCACTGCCGCGAACCTGTGGCCGGACTTCTTCCTCCTAAAAACACGTTCGAATTGTGAATAACCAAAATATGGCATCGGGAAGACGCACGCGTCGGTTGTTATATGCCCGCATCGGGCGGTGCGTCCGTCGAAGCGCGGGGCCGATAGAAGGTAATCGGGGGCCATCTGACGAGACGCCGCTGGTTGGACATCGTGCGACTGGTCCCGGACGAGGACGCAATGCGGCGGGCCAATACTTGATTGGGTTGGTAGCAGTGCTAGCCGTCAATTGAGGTACGTACCAGTCTGTGAAAATGTCGGTACAGCCCTCAACAACTGTAGGAGCTTCGTGGTTTTCCAAGTCTGGGCAAAAGCCAAGGTAGCGCATCGAGGGTGGCCGTGGCTGTCGTGTCTACCAAAAAAAACTAAGCCATGTGGCATGTGGATGAGAGAAACAAAGGTGCGGCACCTTACTCGCTTGAGGGATCCACAGCATCGCGCCGAAGCTGCAAAAAAAAAACGGGTCAGTACAGGAGCGGGTGGCATTTACCTCTGCTGACACTTTCCCGGGCTGGTTGTGCCAGAGGGTCCCTGGTTTGAGTCCGGCAAACCAGCACAACCAGCTGGTCAAGTATCAGCAAAGGAAAAAAAGGAATGCTTACGGGTGAGAAGACCGCGCTTCAACACGTTCTTGGTGGTAGTGAGAATGCTGCGAGTCACGAGCGTGATTTATGTGACACTTTGTCATTTTGCTGTGCGCTACATTCTTAATATCTCATGCTTAATCTCTTTCTGTTTCATTAGGCAGAATGACCCTGTTGCATAATGGTAGTGCGTCGCGGATACGTGTCATTCCATCGGGATTGTTTGGTGATGTTCTCAGTTCGATTCTGAGTAGGGTCGCTTTTTTGGCACTTCTTTTCTTTTTTGCTACGCTAAGTTATTCGGACTTCGACTGCGGCGTCCTTAGTTAAGGTATGTTTGGTGGACTTGAAATGAAGAAAAGAATCCTCTATTATGGATTGAAGCTACCTCGTACATAATATTTTTAATGTGAAGTGAGTCACCTAAAACAATAGAATAGCACGGTTGGGACTCGTATCAAGCTGGCGAGTGCTCTTAAGCATTCATTAGTGGACATGGACTCTAAATGAAAAAAGAATCCTCTATTACTACCTAAGTTACATCGTTAAGAATATTTTGAATTCTGAGAAGTGAGTAACCTAAAACAATAGGGTAGGGACTCGTATCAAGCGTGCATTTGCTCGCAAGTATCCAAGTAGGTCAGAAAAATATTAATCTCAGGGAATGTTGCTGGGTCGGATCGCAAGTCTCACACATGGAATTCTCGATTTGGCTGGTTAGGGCTGTAGCTGTTGAGTGGGAATCCTTGGCATGTGCGGCTCAAACCGCGGAGTCGGATTCTGCATGCGAACCACTCTGAGCGTAATTCATGCGCGGTTCAACACTATGGGATCAATGTTTCAAATTTCATCCACGAGCCACAAGAAGAAGCGTCGGGCACTTACCACGACGTCGTATTTCGCCAATACCACGAACAACCCATATCGGGAAGGCACAGGTTACGCACCGCCACCCGATTGCTTGGGTCGAATTTCATGGAATCTCTATGCTCCACCTTCACGTTCACTTGCAAGCTCCCCACTGCCCCAGCCTCGGGCATACCTGCCTCACCAGTCCCTCTATTCACCTCCTTCTCAGCCAGCCCCACCAAACAAATTCCCAACAACCGCGCGGAAACGCAGGCCCGGTACCGTGCTCGACACCGAGAAAGCGAACAGGCCAAAGCGCGTGAACGGATGAGGCGACTCCGCGAAAGCTGCCGGGAGGTAGACGTGTCTTCCGAAGTTCTTCGGGCAAGGTACGTCGTGCAGTCGTGCGAGAGTCCGCCTCAGAATCTGGCCCTAATCAAATGCAGCTCTGTGTTTGCTCGCTATCGAATCTACCTACGCGAGCATATCGTCAAGATCTGGACTGACGACGCTAATGTGGAAGCGTGGAATGCCGAATGGCAGCGCATTTGCAACAAAGAAGGGCCCCCGTTTAACCGGCAGGATGCCATTTTTTTGTTGCGGCACGACCATCCCAATCCAAACCCCTCCGACGGGTGGCCTACGGACGAGGAAATCGAGCGGCGACTCCACAAACTCAACAGCTGCGACGTGGTTTTGGAGTACGCCGACGACGAGGTGGGTGACTGGAGAGCCGTCTTGAGTCGGACTCCGGTGGGGTCAAACGACGATGACCTCGAGTGGTTGTTCCGCCACACCATTCCGACGCCGACGATGGAGGGTATGGGGGCGTGCGGATGCATATAAGAATATTATATCTTTTGATTTTTTTCGTGCGGTGTCAGATAGTGAAACCCAATCTCATTTTGTCAACCAAGTACATGCTTTGTAAACTAAGCCTTCTCGAAAATAAAGTCGCGGCTGTCCACGCATTCAGTTTGAACCAGCACCTGGTGTGACGCATATGAGCAAGGACGAGCACATAGAGAGTAGTGATATACCTTGGGCACGGGACCTCTGTGCGCCGGGCAGGTACAATGGGCCGATTTTAGTTGCGCCAGCTCACGGTTGGCTAGACGCGCCAGTAGTGCGGAATCGGCGTCAGGGCGGGCGTTCAGACGCGCCTGCGCGCGCTGGGCGATGCGTTGCACGTTCTTGGAGCTGCTCGGGAGGTTGGCGAGGGGCGCATGGGGGGGACCACTGCCGAGATAGAGGATTCCCGGGGGGGGGTTGTGCAGAGGGACGCTAATGAATGGCTCGGCACGTCCAGGGACGAACGTGTAGATGGGGTGCACATCGTGAAGGTCGATGGGGCCGTGACCATATTCCTCGTTGCGGGCCGCCTTGCGTGCCTGGCGCTCCGCGCGAGCGCGACGAAAGTCTTGCCAGTAGGAGCGGGAGTGGAGGATGGGAGCTTTTTTCTTCTCTCGCTGGCTGGCGGGCATGGTGAATCGCTAAGGAGTTGCCTGGGGAATCCTTCGACGATGTTAAATTCTAGAGCATCGCGGATCAATTGGACGTCAGAGAAAATCGAATGGAACCTGACCTTGTAGTAAATAAACCGAACGTTAATCGAAACGTTAATCGAACGTTAATCCACCCTTTGGACCCGAACACTAACATGCCATCCTCGTTGAATATCGACACCCCCGCGGACGCCCCTGTCATTTCAAACCAACCAGCCAGGGTGCTTTTCACAACGTTTACGGCCGGAGGAACGCCGGCCTCTCAACCCAATGCGCGCGCTAAGGCGCAAGCCCGCTATCGCGCAAAAAACAGGCAGCGCGAACAAAACAAGTCGCGCGAACGCATGAGTCGCCTGCGTGAAGCCCGCCGAGGAGGAGGTGAGGAGGAGCTGCAGCGGAAGGCTTCCTCCGAGAAGCTTCGCGCGACGTAAGTGGGATGCGAGCCGTTGGTAACGTCGCTAACTAAGGAGGGAGTTCAGGTCGCTGTTCGCTGTATATAGGCAGCACGCACAAGAACACATCGTTCCATTCTTGATCGAGCAGGAGCGAAAGGGGGAGCCAGAGGGTGCGGGGGAGCCACACGGCGCGGAGGGGCCAGTCGTCGAAGCGATTAAACGTGATTTGCTTCCGGACGAGGTGGTGGCGTGCCGGGGTAATTTCCGGCTCGTCTTTAGCATCACTAATGCGCGCACGGTGGCTTCATTTGACAAAATGCTGGCCGCGGGGGAAGATTTGGACGACGACGATTTAGAGTTCATGATTCGTCATCAAGTCCCCGCGCCAACGCTCGAAAACTTGGCGTGCTGTGTCCACGTAGTCTAGATAGAATCAATTTGGCTTGACATGGACCACCACAGTCTTCAGCACTCTACCTCGCGTGCCATCGCTGTTGCCAAGGAGGCCCACCAGCTACGCATCTCCGGGGAGCCATTTGTTGCTTGGGTTTTGGACCGAGCGCGAGCGACGGCAGGTAATCCGAGACTCCGCCTCCGAAGTGGCGCTCAATACTTTAGTCCAGCCTTCGAGATTTACGTCCGCGCTCGACGCAAGATGTTGGTGATACGCTTCCGCGTCGAACGACAAGGGAAGCTGGGCGTCGGGTATCGGAATCAGAAAAAGCTGGAGGCGGAGCGGCGGGCATGTGTCGCCAGGGCGAGACCAGGAGGCGGCAATGGGTCGTTGTCGTCGAAATAGGAAATCATTTATGGTTTTTGAGTTTCTCGTCCTTGCCGAGTTGTCATTCAAAGCAAAAATATATTCGGCCTGGGTAGCTACACAACAGGGACTACGCGACGGGCACGGATTTGGACTGCGCAAACCCGAGTCAGTGAACACCGGCGGGCTGGAAGATGCCGATAGCGACATACCATGAAACAAAGATTGAGGTTTCACGCGCTTTCAATTTGGCAGGATCGTAGGAGTCGGGCATGATGGAAGAACGCGCGGATACGCTGGTGGACGGCGTCAGGGAGGCGGCGCACAGGATTCCCAATCACTCACGTTGTGGGTGACTGTTCTGGTGTAAAGGCGCTCAGAGAACTCCTGGGCGGTCAAAACGTCGGTGTCGCGGTCGATCCGCATGCCTTCGAAGGGCTCCTGGGTTACTTCCAAGCGCCATGGAAAGCGTACCCAATATTGGGCGTAGATGTCGACAAAAAATTCATTCAAAGGGGTGGCGCCGGAAGAGAATACAGCGATAAAAGATTCGACGTGAAGCTGTAGAAAGGCGAGACGCTCGCCCTTGAAACGGAACGGCGGAGGGGCGGGGGGCAAGGAGGAGTTTTTTTTTTTTTTTTTTTGTTTTTTTGCTCTTCGGCATGGTCGACGGAGTGATGCTTTGAAATGAATGGACGGCTGGTTTATATTTCGGTTCGTACATTGAACTGCTATGTATACTGTCAAGATGATTGCTTTCTGGGAGGGATTACTTACCTCGTTTCGGTCGCGGTGCCGAATCCGCGGAGCTCGTGGCAGGTTCAAAGAGGAAGGTTCAAAGAGGCAAGCCCAAAGAGGGATGTTGAAAGAGGCGGGGAAGTGGGGTGGCGTCGTGAAGAAGAACTACCAGCCTGGCAGCGGATGTTCACTGCGCAACGCAGACGTAAGTGCAATGGAGACTAGGCAAACCGCTGATCAAACACGACGAGGGAGAGCGAGAGCGCGAGCAGGAGGTCATGATGAAGGCCGAGGGCGAAGTTAAGGGCTGGAGCCAAGTTCGTGGGATGAGAACGGGATGAGGAATGCGAGGCAAAAAGGTCAAGTTGGTGCCTTGTGACCCTGATGACTAATGTCGGGCATTGCCGGTGGCGGAACCAGAAACTAGTTTTAAAAGACGATTGCTCGAATTTTGACTCGACATTGCCCCAGCATGCAGTACTCCTACAACTACTCGACTCCTCCCTCTACCGCTCCCAATGGTGCAGCATCGTCTTCTTCCGCGGCACCTGCTCCGCCCTCCTCTGCACCTGCTGCCGCTACGACGACCCCGGACGGCTTCCCCTTGACTCCCGCACCAGGCACCGACGGACGCGCCACCTGTCCTATGCCGTTTCACCCTGACCCCGGCCACACGGCGCAAGGAATCCACGATAGCTCGACCGACAAATTCTATGTCGCAAGCCCGGCGCGTCAACCTGGTACCTACACCAACTCGTAGGTTGAGTATTGTGTGTTCGTTAGTCTTTATTAATGTGGGCCCAACAGCGAACGCGCCACCTCGGTCTGCAAAGGTTTCCGTAACGGACACATGCAGGGCTGCAACACCTGGGGCGAGGCCCTTGACCAGTGGGCGCGCATGTGTCGTCAGTTCCACGGCGAGCACTGTCCCGACGCGCAACGCCGCGTGACCATGGAGACGCGTATCTTCTTGAGGGAGCAGCGGGTTCGCGGAGAGTATTGGGGCGTGAAG